GGGGGGGGGGGGGGGAGGTGTGCACAGTGTGTTTGTTTAAATCACATCCAGGTGATTTGAGTTCAAGAGGTTAGAAAATACTTTATTTTCCTAAAGCCCAAATGTACAGTCTGCCTGTTAATGGCTGTACATGAATCCAAGAGATTCTAAATGGTTGTAAAATTAATTATTATTATTAGCAGGAGTAATATTTTACTGTAGCACCATTAACTAACAAGCCGCTCAGCATGTAAAGCATCTCAGTTTATACTCCCCCTAGATCTAATTGCTTCCTCATAGCGACCTATAATTTATGCCCCGCTGTATAACACGGAGGCATTTCCCCCCGTAGTATTAGTGAATTGCAGACAGATCTAAATGAAGTCCAGCAAATATATGACATGGACTCCATTGCTAGATCCCTCCCCATCCTCCACTCTTTCTAGTACTGGAGGACAAGGAGGATAGCCAGAGCTCCTTTGGGATCAGACTGAGATAGAGCAACATATAGCTTGTCTTGAATCAAAGCTCATTTCAAAACCAAGCCCAGCGTTTGCAAAATCTCTTCCCTAAGTGCTCTGTACAGACGGAAATGAGTCAATATAGAAAATAACAGAAGGGCAAGGGAGTAGCTAAAGGAGTTGCTGTGTGAAAGGGAGAAAATATTTGTCTTCAGGGCAGGTTTGAAATGAGAGGGAGATTTGTTGAGGCCGAAGGATGTAGGGAACCTGTTCCATGGCTGAAGAGGGCACATCCTTTTATCAGCAGCTGTTCAAAAAGACCAATGGAAGGATCATACTAGATGAGAGAGAGGGTACAGATGGGGACAAGACTTAGAAGATCGGATGGAACAAGTCCATAGCAGGCCTGAAAAGCCAGGAGATCTGGCCTTATGTGAGCCCTGAAACAGAGAGGAAGAATAGCATCCAGAGTCTGGAATTGGAGCTATTTATGACAACATTCCTGCCTGCAACAGTTATTTTAGGTAGGCAGGTTTCCAGTGGCTGTGTTCTCAGGAAATGTCATGATTTTGGGGGCCTGACTCATTTTTGAATGCTTGGGGTTGGCAATGTTGGGGACCAGCCCTCCACTTGCATACATTTCCCTCTGATGACCTGGTAGCCTTACCGTCTGAGATCCGGTCTGGAAGGACCGATGCCTGAATAAGCCAGTAGGACATGAAATGCCATGCTGAAATAGACTTCTTAATTAGTTTTTCCTCTTCCAGGAGCCTATTATGTGCTGTATGGATCTGGTGACTACAGCGGGAGTGGTGATGATGACAGTGACCTGGATGGTGGTCCTGATGCTGTTTCCTATGGCTTCTCCGGTTGTGTCTGTGAAGAAGGGTTCATGCCCACATCTGGAAAGGAGCCTTTCCTGAGTATCAGTGAGTCCAGTTGTGAGGGTAAATGTAAACAGTTTGATTTTGTTGCTGCAGTTTGGTAGCATCTTTTGTCTAAGGGTCTCTAATTCAGGACGACAGTCAGCCTTTCGTAGAACATTGATCTAATATATATAAACTAGTTTTTTGAGATGGAAGGGTGCTAATATCTTAATGTTTTGGTGAAGTGAGTTTTATATTAATAGAACTAAAGCCGGGCTGTCACCAAAAGGTGATTTTTGTCTCATCAAATCACTGAGTCTTAGAAATGTGGGCCTCGAAGTGACTTCAGGGAATCATCTGGTCTATCCCCCTACCCTGAGGCAGGATGAGTGAGTGTACCTAGCCCATCTAGGACAGATGCCTGTTTAACCTGTTCTTAAAAACCTCCAATGAAGGGGATTCCCCAGTGTCCCTGGGACTGTTAAAGTGCTTGACTCTCCTTAGAATTAGATTTTTTTCCCTTTCTATTAAGGCAGAAATTCCTTTGCTGCAAATTAAACCAGTTTCCTTATGTTTTGCATCCAGTGGGCATGAAGAACAGTTGAGGATATATAACAATCCTTCTATATAACTACCTTATTCCTATTGGAAGGCTCTTATCATTGGAAAGCTTGGCTTCCCTCGGGGTCTGGACATATTTACACTGGGGGAAAACAGCAGTAAAATGTAGTGGTATAAGTTGCCTGAGCATAGGTGTTGTGTGTCCACAGTTAACATGGAAGTAAGCACTTGTTCAATGCAAACAGGCGATTGCCTGCTTCCTCACTGTCTATTAGTGAGGTTCTGTAAGAGCTTCTTGTAAAGCAGCTACTTCACGATAGCCAGTCAGTCATCTTTCTGCTCTGGGACCCAGGGTAATTATCTCTGGTGTACAAAATGGAAGTAAATTATGCCACTGTTTATGTATTGTGTATCTTGATGCTCTCCCCTAGATTCAATAAGTTTCTTTAATGGTGGTGCCTGTGGCAGAAAGCCACCTTGGTTTCTCCCCCAAAATCTCTGCCCTGTGACACTGTGAGTTAAATCTCTGTGCTGTGACCATTCAATTAGGGTGGGCCCAGCACACAGGGGACCACACCCTCAGCCTGTCTCTTTAGGGAACTGGAGCTGGCTGCATTCCTGAGGGAGGGGGAAACCTGCTCCCTCTGCTTACGTGACTTGCATCACTTACCTGGGTAAGGGGCATCTACCTGGGGAGCTGGAATCTGCCCGGTAACAGGTGATGCATTTCAGATTGGTTGGCTGACAGCCAACTGGGGCTGACCTCCGCTGGCCCAGGTGAATGAGGTCACAGGGGCTATATAAGTTAGGACGGGGAAGGAGGCGGTCTCTCCTCTCCGGCCATGAGGTGACGCAGCAGCCAGGCAGGGGACAGAGAAGCCTTAACATCTGAAACTGGCTCTCTCCCCCCAAACTCACGAGCTAGGAACCGCCTGCCTCCAAAGGGAAACTTCACCTGCCTTTGGAAGATGCTTGTGAGTAAGCTACTCAATCTGATTAGATATTTAGCTGGAAGTAACACAGATGCGTAATCAAAAGGCTACCACAGCCAGACTGTTTGCTCTTTAGGATTTCTAGATATTGCTCTATCCTGTACCCTAGTTTACCCTACCCCCTGTAATCAATAAAGTTCTCCTTTTTGACTGGTGTGGGAGACTTATTGAGGGGTGGGTCTAAATTATGCCTAAGAGACCCCTTAGGTCTGTGGACTAAGGGAGACTATACCTTTTTGCCCCCGGACTTGGGGAAGTACCCCAAATGCCTGTACTGGGTTGAGTACCCGTGGGACTTTAGGCCTGTGTTACCCCAAGGACACAGGGCTGCGTGACAGTCCATTCTTGGGGTGGTGGTGGCACATTACCCCCAGACTAGCGAGTGTGCTCCGGGAGAGGGGTCGGCCGGACATAAGGCGCCCCTAGGGAGGCACTCGGAGCCTGGAAGGTGGTCAGGCGCAGGGAGGTGGGTGGCTCGATGCAGGAGCACCCCCTACTAGCCCACCTCACATGGTGGAAACAGCGGAGGGATATGAATACCCAGCTGTGTTCCTGAGGTGGGATCTCTGCACCCGCCACAGTGCCCAAAACCAGCCACAGGACTCTACAGAGCCATCATAATCACAGCATAGAGTGGAATTATTACTCTCCTGTGTCTTATATACTAAATTTCTTTTACTACAACCCACAATGGGATAGTGATCTTTTTTTCTTCCATTGCATGACATTGGTGACCACTAGATCCTTAGTTGCAGTACTGCAGTCTAGCCCTTATTTCCCATTTTGTATTCATACAAATTAGTTCATCTTCCTAAGGGGAGCACTTGTCTTCATTAGGCCTACACAGATAGGGCACTATTTGATTCAGGTTTGGATTTGGCCGATTTTGATGCCAGCGATTCGATTAGGAGCTCCGAATCGGTTTCCTGCTTTGATTCGGAGATTTGGCCATAGGGTATAATGGGGAATAAATTGAATATCTATAACTTTGTTGTTTTTGTGCTATTTGGATTAAACTTGCAGAGATGGTAGCCTCTGCCGAGAGCATGAAGCTTGCCAAGTTTCAAGGAGATAGGTACAGGGGTTTGGGGGAAACTGCACCTCAAGCTGCGGATAAGTAAAGCTCGTGACATGGGTAACACTGTGCATGTTAAGGTGCATCAGGGTGAAAGCTGCAGAGATGGTAGCCCCTGCTGAGGCCATGAAGCCTGCCAGTTGTCAAGGA